CACCTCCTTGACCTGTCCGTCCTTCCCAGACTGACGTATCCTCACCCTAACTCCCCACCTACACTCACCTTTACTGGCTCCATCCCCACCTCCTTGACCTGTCCGTCTCCTCTCCACCTATCTTCTCCTTTATCCATCTTCCATCTGCCTCCCCCTCTCTCCCTATTTGTTTCAGAATCCCCTCCCCCACCCCCATTTCTGAAGAAGGGTCCAGACCCAAAACGTCAGTTTTCCTGCTCCTCTGATGCTGCTTGGCCTGCTGTGTTCATCCAGCTCTACACCTTGTTATCTCAGAGTCTCCAGCATCAGCAGTTCCCACTATCTCGGGATAGGTTGGGACTTTTGTTACTAGAGCATAGGGGGTTGAGGGGTGACCCTATAGAGGCTTATAAAATCATGAGGGGCATTGATAAGGTAATTAACAAAGATCTTTCCCCAAAGGTGAAGGAGTTCAGAACAAATGGGCATATTTTTAAGGTGCGAGGAGAAATATTCTAAGAGACATGGGGGCAACTATTATTTTTACACACAGAGTGGTTCGTGTGTGGAATGAACTGCCAGAGGAAGTGGTGGATGCAGGTTCAGTGACCATGCTTAAAAGACATTTGGATAAGTAGATCAATACAAAAGATTTGGAGGGAGATGGGCCAGGAGCAGACAAGTGGGACTAGTTTAGTTTGACAATATGGTCGGCATAGACTAGTTGGACTGAAGGGTCTGTTTCGTGCTGTATGATTCTTCTGATCCTCCCACAGTGCAGCACTCCCTTAAATACTCATTTCCTCAGGTCAGGGTATCCCTCACATGTTCAGGTCATAGAAAGCCCTGAATCACTGAAAGTCCTGTCCATTGCACTTCTCCCATTTTAACTTGGCCCTCTCTTCCTTTCCCTGTCCTCCCCCCACCCCTACTCCCCTTCCCACCCTCCTTTGTCACCTTCCGTCTCCTTTTCCTTTCCTCTCCTCTATTCCATTCCTTCCTTTCCCTCTCCATCCATCTCCGCATTTCCCTCCGCCTCTCCACCCCTCCTTTCTCCCAACCTCCCCACACCATCCCTCCACCCAACTCTCCTCCCACCAACACGTCTCTCTTCCAAACCTCCTCCTCCTCCTAATCCCCACATCCCCCGACCCCACCTCGCCCTCTCCACTCATCTGTCCAACTCCTCCAATCCAACCCATCCCTCTGCCCCTCCATCAATCCCTCATCCCCTCTGCCCCTCCCTCCTCCCTTCCAAGCCTCAGCCCCTCAATCCCTCCAAACCTCAGCCCCTCCATCCATCCTCTAAAACCTTCAGCTCCTCTACCCATTCTTCCCTTCAATGCTCAGCCCCTCTGTCCCTCCAACCCTCAGCCCTTCCATCCATCCTCCCGACTAACCCTCAGCCCTTCCATCCATCCCCCCTCCAACCCTCAGCCCTTCCATCCACCCATCCCCCCTCCAACCCTCAGCCCTTCCATCCATCCATCCCCCCTCCAACCCTCAGCCCTTCCATCCATCCATCCCCCCTCCAACCCTCAGCCCTTCCATCCATCCATCCCCCCTCCAACCCTCAGCCGTTCCATCCATCCATCTCCCCTCCAACCCTCAGCCCTTCCATCCATCTCCCCCTCCAACCCTCCATCCATCCATCCATCCTCCCCACCAACCCTCAGCCTTTCCATCCATCCTCCCCTCGAACCGTGAGCCCTTCCATTCATCCTCCCCTCGAACTGTTAGCCCTTCCATCCATCCTCCCCTCGAACTCTCCTCTAAAACCCTCAGCCCTTCCATCCATCCTTTTCTCCAACCCTCAGCCCTTCCATCCATCCCCCCTCCAACCCTCAGCCT